ATCATGCATACATTGTATGTATATAATAAAGTATGAATGAGCTGTAAACATGAAATAAAAGTTATTGTAATAACGTTTGATGAAAAATTATTTATATGATAGAAAACGTTAAATCTGTGTTAAGTGTACATATATTGAGCTTACATATAAACATACAATATATGTAAGCAAACTAAACTTATACCAGGTGTAGCACACACATGAACTTGAATCTTTAACTTTTGATTGCCGTGTATAGAAATACCTGTAAGGAAAAACCAAAAATAACAAAGACTAGAAAACATATTTGCGATAAATTATTTGACAAATCATCATCAAAACTATAGGGCCAACACAAACCAACAAAGAAAAATGGAGCTAAAACAGAAGAAACAAGATGACGATATTATGAAGATGGATCTCTCAACACTCAATTCAATTCAACGATAATACTTTGAAATGCGTCAAGGAGAGATATTGGAGAGGTGGATGTCTAAGGGTTCTTCCTAATTAGCATATATTGTACTCGCATCGCATCCTCATTAGTTCTTCCTAATTATCAAATATTATCTTGTGATTAATTTTATGATTGTACTTGAAGTTAAAAAATTTGGCATTGAATGAAAACAACTACTTTATTGAAACAGAAATTGGCGTAGTAAAATATTAAAATTGAAAGTATCAAACGGTTAGAAATGAAATACAATATAATTGAAAGTAATGGGTAAAATATTAAAATGGAAGAGGGGTTTTTTTGGTGTTGTTGGGGCTCCTAACTAGGAGCTTGTTGGAGCTCCATTAAAGAAGGAAGGCCTCCTAAGGCTTATTTTTTTAATTTTTTATTCTAAAATGCTTGAGAGCTCTTGAGAGCTTGCTGACTAGGACTCCCAACTGGGAGCTTGATGCACTTGCTCTTAGAGCGATAATAACCTCACCACTTAACCGTCCTGATCTACTTGTACTAATCTACTTGTCCTACTATAAAATCAACTTAAATAAAAGCGCTGCAAAAGAAACTCAAAGACAAAAAAAAATAACTTAAACTACACCTACCTGATAGGGGGTGGCGCTCAGAACCTAATTGATTGAAAAATCTGTAAAGAAAGCACTAAATTGTAAGGAAAGTAAATTACACTACGTAAAGAAAGTAACTTGCGAGTTATCTATGCATGTGAACTACAACTTAAGCAGCAAAATCACAAGGAACTGAACAGTTGTAGAAAGTAATAACCAATAGGATAATAAAAATAAATAGGTAAGCACAAATACTAGATGTCCCAAGAATAATAAACACAAAACATCTCAAAAATTGGCGGTCTTCATGGTGCATGTTAGCAGGCGAATCCTCTGCTAACGTACACCCCCGCCGAGATTTCGATGGTTGGGAAGAAGAAGAGCAGCGGTAAACAGATCCTTAACATTGGATTGAGAGCGACGAATCCTTGCCTGCAATCCAAAGAGATCAGTTCTTGTGCAAAATTTGCTGGAAATGGTGAAGTTCTTGAATCTGAAGCTATGGGATCAACTGGTCCTAAGGGGGAAAGAATGAAGAAATCAATGGAAGAGATCCTCAGAGATACAAATCCAAAAGATCAGACAACTCCTTAATCGATTGGATGCAGATCTCGTAATCTCTGTAAGTATTCTTCCTCTCCTGATGATCTGAGTAGATCCAGTAGATCTTCTTAGGCTGACGATGAAGTTCTTGAGATTGACTCAATAGATCAGCATCTTATCTCAAATTCTAATGAATTGAATCCTATTCAATTGACTCCTGCTTTGGATTCTACTGTTACATCAAATCCTGATGGAAAATTAGTTGAAAAGGTTACTTGTGGTGATTCTGATTTCCCTCCTCTTTCAAATGCTAAACCTGCTACTGAAATGGTGAACCTTGAGAAAAAAAGCTGGACCGGTTTGTTTGCTGATAATAGGAAAACTGGAAATGGCATGGTCTTGGATTTCATTCCCCCTGAGTCTAACAATTCAGTGATCTTTGAGAAGGAAGAATGGCAAGAAGGTGAATCCATGTGGAAATTTTCACTTATTGAACAGGTTATGGGTCTCAATGCTAAATTTAAATCCATGGAGTATTTTGTTAAGAAAGCTTGGTATTCATTGGCAAATCCTGAGGTTTTCCTTCTTAAATCAGGGTTATACCTGTTCAAATTCAACAATAAAGAAGAAATCAGTGAAGTAATTGAAAATGGCCCTTGGTTCTTTGGGTCAAGGCCACTCCTTCTAAAACATTGGTCAAATGAAGAAGAGATAGAGATGAATCTTGATAATATCTATCCTATGTGGATACAATTGCCAAGCCTAAGATTTAATTTGTGGAATGCCAAGTGCATAAGCAAAATAGCAAGTGTCATTGGAAGACCAGTAACTACAGACAAACTCACCGCTAATAGGCAAAGACTAGCCTATGCAAGAATACTAGTTGAGGTAAAAATGCCTTCAAAGCTTCCTGAGCACATAACTATACAAGGGCCAAATGGAAAATTGATTGATCAAATTGTTCATTATGAGTTCAAGCCTAGATGGTGTGATTATTGCAAACAAGTTGGACATGATACTAGTTATTGCAAATGGCACCCCAGAACTCAAAAGAAGTGGATCCCTAAGCAACCTAATGCAACTCAGGCCTCAGCTCCTGTTCCCCCTGGACATACAGAACAAGCTCTTACTTCTGGAAATAATGCAGAAAATGTCATTCAAATGAAGCTTCCTCAGGTACCTGTACAAACGATAATTGCTCAGCAGGTTCATCCAGCTAGAAAACAAGTGGAAGTGGGAACTGGATGCTCTAGCAATTTTGTGCATGTTGTGCATGTGGAGGTCAATGCCAACAGAAAAAAAATCCCCTAATCCTCGTGCTCAGCAAGTTCACCCTGCTGGAAACCAAGCAGAACTAGAAAATGGGAATTCTGGCAATTCTGTGCATGTTGTGCATGTTTCTGATGCCAACAACAAAAATGACTCTCCCACTAGAAACCCTTGGATGCTTATACAAAGAAGTAAAAGCAAAACCCCTATTAATTCTTTTACTCCTTTGGGTAGCATGATGGATGAACTGGATCCATTTACAATGGATAGAGGGGAGACAATCTGATGAATCTATCTTTTTGGAATATAACGGGACTAAACAAATCCCCTAAGCAGCATCTAGTTAAGCAGCATATAAATCAGCACCATCTTCCCTTTGTGGCTCTTATTGAGACAAAAATCAAAGAATCCAACCTGTTGGTCATTTCTAAGAAAATTGTTGCAGGTTGGAAAAGTGCTTCAAATGCAACAAAGAATGTCAAATCTAGAATACTGATACTATGGGATCCTAATATTTTGAACATTCAAAATGTGAAAATCAATCCTCAGCATATAACATGTTCTGTCAAGTCAATTAATGATAGAGTTGATTGCATAATCTCAGCTATATATGGTTATAA